CCCAAACCGGAACCGGATCGGGCCCGGTCCACCACTAAAAACGATGATCAATTTAAGGGAAAATTACTATTAACCCCCTCAGGTTATGTCATACTAATTATTGCAACCTTGCATTTTCAAAAATAAATTAGTTACCCCCTGAGTTTTGATCATTCTTATTGTATGCCCCCTCACATCAATATTTGTTAAACTAAATTTAATACGGAGTATAACTCTTAAATTCAATGGAACTTGTTTATAAAATTAATTTTCAAAGTATAATATACGAAGTAATTTATTATCATAAATATAAGTCGTTGTTATTGATCATTATTTTTCTACTTAATTACTCAATCGTAGAATAACTATTAATGGGAGTAATTAATGAAAAGACTCACGAGTAATATTCATGAGATATATCAAAGATAGTTGTTTAAAAATGTGTTATCGAAATTCTAGGCACTTCTTTCGTGTGTAGCAAAGAATAAATACTAAGATGAAATGAATTTTATCATTCCTTGACCTAAAAGATAGGTCTAGTATCAATAAGAGACTTACAAGATATATAGAATGTGTCGATATAGGACCTAAATAATTGAAAGCTATCAATATAAGACCTAATATCATATATTTTGATTTATTTAATTTTCTTTTATCAACTCTGTTACTAACTTGTGATGATTTTATCTTCACAAATGTTTTTTACAGTAAAAAGTTTATTACCGTAGTATTTTATAAGATAAAATGATATTGAGTGTTTTGAAATAAAAATACTGAAATTCATGATACTTTATATCTTACTCGTGAATATTTTCCTTCACGGAAATAGTTCAAAGGGATGTACTAGTATGATTTTTGACATGTGCTACTCCCTATTTGATGCCATTAGGAAACATTTAGCAGCAAAAAGTATTTTCTTTTTAATTACTACGTATTTAAGACTTGAGTATACTATTTGTTGCGGTTATATAAAAATCCCAGCAATTATATTAAAATTTATAATATTTGTTGCGGTCAACGAAGAACCATAAAATTGTTGCTCTAAAAAATCAATAATTTGCATCGGTTGATAAATAACAACAACAAACCTTATTAAAATATAGAGAAAAGAGACAAGTAAGCCCTTGAACTATTTGCTATTCTGCAATCAGGCCCTTGAACCGAAAGACTTGCAGATACATCCCCTAACTAATTGAAATGATGCAATCAAATCCTTTTTTACCTGCTGGTGGAGGTAAGACGATGAAATATTATCGGCACCAACAGGTAAAAAGGACCTGATTGCTTATATTTCAACGAGTTGAGTGGTGTATCCGCAAATTTTCCGGTTCATGGGTCTGATTGCAAAATCGCAAATAGTTCGAGGGCTTATTTGCCCATTTTCTCTAAAATATACTACGTAATATAGTTGCGAGTTGCGACGGTCAATCGAGAACCACAATAATTTCCACTTTTTGTAGCTCTCACAATTGTTTAGGTTCAACCGCACACAGGGACGGACCCAAGACACTGGGTTGGGTTGGACTAGTATAAAGAATATTTTTGGAAAATATTTTACACAAAAATTTTCACTTCAAAAGTTTAGTTTTTTTTTTAAATTTTGGAGGGCCTAGGTTGTCGCCCTCTAGCTCCGCCCCTAAACCCACAACAAATAGGCTAAAACAACCGCAACAAATACTTCCTCTGTCCCAAATTATTTTGCAAAGTCAACATTTTTTGGTCAATCAATAATAAAAGTTAAACCTCCCTGTCCATAATTAATTCAATTTTTAATAATTAAAATTTACATATTCAGAAACTACATCAAAATCTCGTCAAAGTTGCAAACTTCAAATTAGAAAATAATTAAAAATTGGCATCTTAATTAAGCGAATAAAATGAAACAGTTTGACTAAGAAAGTCAAATTTTGTCACTTTCTTTTTAATGATCCATGAAACAATGATCTTAATCATAAATGTGAAGTTTGTGTGGAATCTAAGATGACAAGAAAATCTTTTCACGCCATAAATGGATAAACCAAACCACTAGAATTCGTTTATACGAATCTGTGTGACCTTAATTATGAAGGTACAAGAGATGGGAAAATGTATTTTATTACTTTCATTAATTAATGCTTTTAATTAAGCACTAGTATAGTACCCGTGCGATGCACGGGGTGATTACTTTTTATTCATTTAAGGAGTATGCGTTAAAATAAACAAAGCCACATAAAAGGATGTTAAAAAATAACTAATGGATGCCATTTTTTATTACCTAATTGAAATAGAAAAACAAAAAACATGCATTTAAAGGACATAATTCCTATATCTGCGAAATAACATCATCATTTTAAAGTACTTGACTCAATTTGAGAAGCTCGGTGAATAGCCCAAATAACTATAGGTCGGTCCACCACGTTCTTAATCTCAAGGTTCAAACCATCACATGGTTTAAACTTTGCTACTTGTGCATGAAATCTCCAACTGAAATGATGTTACGAATTTACGATGTATTATTTAAATCAACAACATTATCTTTTACGATGTATGATTTAAATCAACAACATTATCTTTATAAAATCTAGTTAGAGGATATATTTAGCAGTTTAATACAAGTATATAAGACACTTAATTTCTTTGAACAAAAAAAAAAGTAATTAAGACAGTCGTCATTGGACACTCTTAATTTTTTTTGTTCCATATAAAATCATTGTAATACTTGAAATGCGAGTCAAACTGGTACATCACTTTAACTTAAAATGATGTTTTTTGAAAGAAAAAATAACTTTAAATGTAATCAGTTTAGAGAAACATTTTTTCATGAAAAAAGCAATTCCAAGTTTACAAATTTCCCCTATGCCCTGACGTCGAGCTAAAATGCAAAAGGCCTAGAACTCAGCTTTCATGTCGTTTGACAACACAAAATAACTATTGTTTATCTTCATTCCACACAAATAACCCACAAACCTGGCCTACATATCATAGAATTGTACTAAAAACATGAACAAAAATAGCATCTGATACCAATTTGTAACACCCCCATTTTCCCTCCCAAAATAGTACTTGAAACAATAGATTTATTGATAATAAACTTGATTTATTCTTTCAAAACAGATAAAAAGTTTTGCAACGGAAATAATATTAATTGGGAAATGGGTGTTACCGCCACATCCGGTCATCTCTTAACCGAATGCACAGGCTAATACCAGACAAGACAAAACAAACTAAAACTAGTGTTCAAAACATAAGTAAATTAAAATGTTTATTCTTGACTAAGTTTGTCTAAGGCATCTCTAAATTAAACCGCTCTCGGGAATCAAGCAATCATCAATCAACAAAGCATCATCACCTGCACAAATAAAGTGCAGAAAACAAAACAAAGAAAGAAAACAAAAATTAGCTTTAGAGCTAAGTAAGTACTACCCAACCCCGTAAAATAATCAGGTTTGACAAAAATAGATTTTTATATAATACTATATAAAAATAACACACTCCATAAAAATTCTCTTCTTCTTTGATTATCTCAAAAACCACTTCTTCTCTAACTTCCTAGTAATTTAGAAGGGCGGTGCTCAACCTTTCGACTGAGCCCGGTGGACCGTGGTTACGGACGGCCACCCCGAACAAGTGCCGGTACCACAACTGCTCTTGTGGAAACGAAACGACTACCTTAAGTGTGCACACCCCCTAAAAGGGATTCCAAGCCCTCCGAGTAGTAAGTCGTCACGAGTAATCGGGACTATCGGGACTCAGTCTACCAACTACCCCACCTTTAAAATTCTTGAATGATTAGGGACTACTACTATAACTCTACTTCTTAAAAAGGGATCATCGATCCAATTATCACTGAAAACTTATTCTCACCCTTAGCAGTAGTAGCCCTTTTACGTCGGAACTACTACTACTACCACAACTCTCCTTCTTAAAAGGGATCATCGATCCGAAAGTTGCTCAAAAATCTCTTCTTAGTAGTAGCCGCTCTAATCACCCTCCACATTTATCCGGATGTGGAAAACCGACACTGCGGATTTCTCCCGCAGTGCTCATTTCTTATGAAAACCTAAATTTTATCTTGGCTTTAGATATACTTCTAAAAATATTTCTCAATTTCTTTAAAAAGTCTCGAAGGTATTTAAAATATTTAATACCCCAAAAGTGCTTAATTTATATTTCTCAACTACCATTTATATAATATCTCCTCAAAATCACATACACAAAATTCACAATTCACACTTAATCACATAATGCATAATAAGCATATAATACGAGGAAACAATTTTGGATTGGCAGAGAAACTTACCTCAATTTCAAGGATCTCTAATCGTCGTTTCTACCACATCTTCACCAAAATAACCTTCTAAGAATATAAAATTCTAAAATTAATAATTATTCTTTTTCTTAATTAGCCCTTACCCAATTCCACTACTTAAACAAAAAAGTACAAAGGTCAGATAAAGAGGGGTGCTTTGGCGGATGAATTCTCGCTTTAAATTTCCGAATATTTGTAAGAACTGAATACTGATTATGCCATACTAGTGGAATCATTCTGCCACAAACAAAGGTTCAGCTTTGTCTGCGATTAGGAATTAATGAATTAATTGCTAAGATGTGTAACAAAGATTCAGATGTTAGGCATTAGAACTTTTCTTAAAAGCTTTGGGGTAGAATTGCGGCTCCATTTATTTTTTGAAAATCCTGCTGTGCCTGTCACAAAGATTTATCAGGGAAACCTTTCTAATGGCATGAGTGGATACTTATGTAGTTGACTAGTTTCTAGTGTTAGTCTGTTCCTTATTGTATTTGTGGACATCCTGATTTTTTTGGCAGGGCTTCACAACCATTTAAACTGGATTGATGGGATATATATTTATATTCATCAACGAGAATGTTTCTTGTATGGTAGTCTCTTATGTGGAAACTGAAGTCATCTATAAGTATTAAGGCTGTTTAACCAAGCGAACTTCCATGACTTGCAATGATTTTTATATGGATTTACTGTCTGAATTTAATTAATCCCAGGTTTCACTTTTTCATAACTGCAGGATGGAAGAGTTTCACAACTTGAGCATGTTTTTATTCGCGGAAGCAAAGTCAGGTGATAATCATATTTTCTGAGTGATTGATTGGGTTTATAATAATTATGGACTTTTTCATATTGGATTTTTTATCAGGTTCATGATAATTCCTGACATGCTTAAAAATGCTCCTATGTTCAAGCGGCTAGATGCTAAAATCAAGGTAATTCCATTGTTAACTTTGTTTATTTATCCTTTTTACTGATATGAGGTTGTATAACATTACAAATTTACTCTGTTGCAGGGAAAAGGCACATCACTTGGAGTTGGACGGGGACGTGCTATTGCTATGAGAGCCAAAGTGAGTGCTGCATCTTTTAAGCATAGTTGTTTTGTGAAAAAGATTGAGGAATAAAATAATATTCCTCAAAATTTGCATACTTTAATGTTTTTAAAAGTCTACTGTTTGGAATGAATAAAGGACTATTTCTAAAGGGCCATGTAAGGTTTAAAAGGCGAAATGAATCCCCGATGCGGTTGGCCGTTGCCTCAAATTGAAATGTAAAAACTAAGGAAAAGTAAGTAGGGTAGACATAGGTATTTATTTTTGCAAATTGCAACCATTTCAAAACTAAGCTTGTCATCCATTTCAATGTTTCATCACTATCAAAGTTTGTAACATCATTCTCATTCTCATCCTCATCCGTTTTCATATCACTAGCCTCATTGTCTTCTTCTGATCCACCAGCAAGTTTCATTCTTGCACTCTTACGTACACCAAGTCATATATGTCATAAAGAAAAAATGGGTCAAAACCAAAACTATAATACTCCCCTGTCCCAAATTGAGTTACAAATTTGACTTTTTTTGGGTCAAACAGTTTCATTTTATTCACTTAAATAGGATATCAATTCTTAATTATATTTTAATTTGGATTTTGCATCTTTATAGAGATTTCAATGATGTTTCTGAATATGTAAATTTTAATTTAAATTAAATTATTTATCAATAGGGTGGATTTAACATTAACATTGGTTGGCCAAAAAATGTTGACTTTGCAAAACAATTTGAACCGGAGGTAGTACTATACATACCTTTTGTCTGTTCAAATGGATTTCTGAACACAAACTTAAAGACTTAAAGTACATATCCAATATCTAACTATCTACTAAGTTCTAATAGAAGACAGTGCAAAACAGAGAACTAGCATCGTACATAGATGAGAGCACAAAGTCACCAAATAAAAAAACTGAGTATGATAAAGAGATGCAGGGATGAGAGTTAAAGCTCCGTACAAACTTGTTAGGGGTTACTGACTTACTGCTGCCTGTTGGATCACTATTGGTGATCACTGAAGATAGAGCGGTGATGACTGATGACTATCAGAAGACTGCTCGGTCTTAGGAAGAGGATGGAACATATAAGTTGTATTTGGGAGGGAAAATAAAAATACAAAAGAGGTCCAAGTGTAGTAACTTTAAAAATATCAGCCCAACATCTATGACTTTATTGTGAAATATATAGCAACAGATGATGCTTATGCCTCTGCTTGCCTCTGCGCCTTACTGCCTTTTGCTTCACTCTTATCGCCTCATATATCTCAAGGCGCAAGCCTCGATTATACAGATAGAGGCTTAATCCACTTAGGTGCTTCATAGTCGCCTTTGCGCCTCAGGGGCGTGCGCTTCGTTTGCCTTTGAAAACTTTGGGGCCATGGCATTTCTTGTTTTTGTTTTCTGAAATATGTATACTCCCTCTGGTTCATATTAAAGTTCCTGGTTTGACTTCACGGGTTTTAAGATGGAAAATAATTTGGGGTTGACTTTCCACAAATACCCCTCAGCCTCCCGTGTTTACCACCCTGCCCATGGTAAAAGTTCTGCCGCATGCAGTGAGGAGAGAGAGGAAGCCTGCGGTTTTATTAAAAGCCACACAACCACAAAGTACAATTAGTTCTTTTACAGCCACAAATGAAAATTTTCATATTTCCCCCCATATTCGAACCCCCCCCCCCTTTTGGCAGATTACATTTACAAACTCATACCACTATAAAACACCTCATTCAATACACCCAACTACCTCTATCTAAAAAAAATCTACTTCTACTTTAAAGTCTTCTTCCAGAAATGGACAGTGAAGGGGCAGCCTCTTCTCAGCAACCGTGTGGCCTTTTGGACAACAATGTGGAGCCCCTACCCCATGAAGACACCATGCCCTTGCCAGACCAATACACCATGGTCCAAACAGCCTCTGTACCTGCACAGCCAGACGCACACACAGTCCACGCAGATAACGAAGGACACAGCAGTGAACCCTTACACAAAAAATGGCCTAAGTTGTCACCACAAGACCGAAGTCGCATAATTGAAAATCTGTTGGCCCATGCTTGTGAGGGAAAACTTCAGAGGGGCATGATAAGTAAGTTAGCCAATGATATTAACATCTCTTCCCGGACAGTCCAAAAATTGTGGCTAAAAGCAAAGGAGGCAATGCATAGTGGAGAGGCCATCAATGTGCGAAGTAGGTGGAAAGGAAATGTAGGGCCAAAAAAAGTTTATTTTGATATGCAGCAAATTGCAGAAATTCCTTTACACCAGCGAAAAATATGAGAGCATTGGCATTTGCAATGAAGGTTTCAAAGTCAACTGTGCAGAGGTGGTTTAAAGGTAAGCAAATAAGAAGGCGCTCAAATGCAATAAAGCCATTGTTAAAAGAAGCTGGGAAAATGAAGAGGTTAGAGTTCTGTTTAAGCCATATACGGCCTGAAACAGTGCACTTAACCCCAACGTTTCATGATTTTTATGACTACATTCACATAGATGAAAAGTGGTTCTATTTGTCAAAAGAGACCACCACTTTTTATACTATTCCCACAGAGCCTGATCCATATAAAACTGCCCAATCAAAGAAGTTTATACCTAAAATCATGTTCCTTGCTGCTGTTGGGAGGCCAAGAATAGAAAGCAATGGGAATGTATTGTGGGATGGGGAAATAGGCATTTTCCCTTTCACATTTGAAGATACGGCTAAGAGATCCAACAAGAATAGGCCTGCTGGATCCTTAGAAACTAAGCCCACTTTAAGCATTACAAGGTCAGTCATTAAAGAAATGATGTTGAACCACGTATTGCCAACAATCAAACAGAAGTGGCCACAGCAGCAGGCAAGTCAGTAATCATACAACAAGACAATGTTAGACCTCATATTGATGTTAAGGACAAAGAGTTTGTGAAATCAGGAACTGAAGATGGCTGGAACATCCAACGTAGATATCAACCAGCCAACAGTCCAGATTTAAATGTATTGAACTTGGGATTTTTCAGGGCAATTGATATAATAAAGGATCAAAAGGCACCAAAAAACACATTGGACCTAATACATGCAGTACAGGCATCTTTTGATGAGCTTACACCTCATACATTGAACAAGGTTTTTCTCAGTTATCAGTATGTCATGGAAGAAATCATGAAACACAGTGGGGGCAACAATTTCAAGCTGAGGCATGTTGGAAAAGACAAACTGGACAGACAAGGTATGTTACCTACAGATGTCCAAATCACTCAAGAGCTGTACCAGACAGCTAAGGCAATGTTTGGAGGACAAATGGCAACAAACACATCCCAACACATCCCAAGGGAATCTGTTCATACATGAAGATCAAGAGGATCTTCAAGTTTGAACTGTCAACACTTTATAACTTGTCAACACTTTATAACTGATCATAACAGAACTAGTTCAGATCAGCCAATTAAATGTTGGTTATTTTTTGTTAGTACACAGTATGTAGATGAACTAGGTGGTAGATGAACTAGGTGGTGTACTTTTTTTGTTTGTACTTCTACACCCATGGTAGTACTATTTTTTGACATACCCTCAAATTAGATGTGTACTCTGTACAATTTAAATTTAGCACAGTTGGAATGCAATCTACTTAACACAAAAGCTCAAGTTTCACACACATTTTGCACACATTATGGCCCCTACACTTAAACCATTACAGAAATACCCCCTGCGCATTCAAATTGTGGGTTGCATAAATGTAATGGTTAGAGCATTGGCATTCACAGTTCATTGGCTAACAACAATCACAGAGGAACATCATTCATTACACAACAGAAGCCCAAATTCATCACAAGTTACAAACATTGGCCAAGAGACTTCACACACGAAGGCAATTTCCACAAAATCAGAACAAACACATGAAAGTAAGGAGATAAAGACAACAGAAGTTTACTGTCCTTAATGCTCTTCTTCCAAAATGTTCAGATCAGCCTGCGTCTCTTTCGGAAACCGTCATCTGTCCCTTCCGCATCGCTGCCAGTCCCATCATCATCTTCCTCGCCCACCGGTACCGAGCTCACTTCTTCGCCGGATTCGTCGTCCAAGCCCTCCAACCCGTCATAGGTATCAAAAACCAGGTTGTCACCGTATTTCTTACGCAACCAGGACGGCTTTTTAGTGGCATCGGCCAAATTGTCCATCACAAGAGGACGCCGGTGAGGAGAATTAAGGGGAAGCAACAATGAAGTGAGAGGACGCCGGTGAGGAGAATTAAGGGGAGGCAACAATGAAGTGAGAGGACGCCGGTGAGGAGAAGGAAGGGGAGGCAACAACGAACAGAGATGACAGAGAAGATGGTTCGAGAGAAGAGAAGAAGATAAGGCGTGAAGAGAGAGACGCAAATGAAGGGCAAATTGGGGAACACCCAACAAAAACTTTCCTAAAATAGAAACATGAACTTTAATATGGACCATCCCGAAATGGAAAGTAGGAACTTAATTATGGGACGGAGGGAGTATTTGTTTTTTAAATGTAGTCATTACAAATTTTCATGAACTTAGATCTATAATCTACTCCCTCCGTCCCGCTAAGATTGTCCCATTTTACCTTTTCGGGAAGTCCCACTAAGATTGTCTCATACCAAATTTGGTAAGGTTTGTGTGGCTCTAAACCATTCTTACTTTATTCTTACTTTATCAATTTAATATCAACCACACAAACCCACTTTTCTTAATAATCGTGTTACCTTCTCTTGTCCCAATCTTAGTGGGACGAAGGTAGTATTTCATATCCCCCATTTCATTCGTGATGGAATAATATTCTCATCATTTCAGAATTTTATGCGAACCAAACATTAGTGTTTTCTTGAATGTGAATAATATAGCCATTCTTTCAAAAATCATAATGTGAGTCCATCTTAATTTTTCATGATTATTATTATATGACAGTGATGCTTTTTTTGGAACTTTGAGAGATTACTATAGAATGTTAGAAGAGTTTTGAACTGAATTACAGTCGAGAAGATTGGTGTTGATTTTATATACAACATTTGCAATTTTATATATCTAGCACCTTGACCCACACAACATATTGCACTTGTAAGCATTTAATTATGCTCCACAAAATTAGCGTGTAGAAAACCATTCTCTTGCTAAAACAATCTTTGCTTCCTGTATCCCCTTTCATCCAACTATTCTTCTGGCACTGAATATTATTTGCAATTCAATTTTCTTGTTTCTAGGCACAGGCAGCAGGTCGTGGAGCTCCACTTGGCAGGGGAGGTATTGTGCCACCTGGAAGGCGGTGATCAGATCTATGTCGGAGAATAACATTTCTAGTCATTTCCCTGAAGAGATTTCGTTTTGCTCTGCTTTTGGTAATCACATATTTTTTCTGTACCCTCTGAGGAGTTATTGAGCTTTTCTTCAGTTTAAGAAAATTAAAAATTGGACATACCATGCTACTGCTAACTAAGCTTCTAGTTCTTGTAATGATAGACGAGTAACCGATGTGATTTTATTTTGGATTTCTTTAGATATGTACATTTCAAATTCTGTTTGTCTTAATGTTATGATTTTATTAAAGATATGATTTAATCGTACGCTACTCTATGAGACCTTATGAGACTTGGCTGGCTACCTGTATTCATAGGAGTGTTTGTCACTAGATTGGCTTAGGAACTTGGTTCGTTTTTGTATTGTTTTTGGACTTGTTCTGCCAGCATAAGAAGTTGGACATACTGTACTAACTATTGTTCAGGTTTTAGATGGGTATGAGGGTATCTAATGTTCTTGTTTTCGATGTCTCATTTTTTGCGGTTTTCTTAAATATTTAAATCTCAATATCACTAGTCTTCAACCATACTCGGCCCCATCATGTTATTCCTCAAGGGTTATATTCTGTTCCCAAGTGATGTTATTCAAGTTCTTGTCCCGAGTTACAACTTACAAGCAGATCTCTTCCTTCCTGGGAAAAAACATGCCATGAGAAAAGTTTGAGCACTCTAATTTATACAGAATTTCCTTATTTTTTAAGTTCTAATCAAGTGTTCGACTACTGTGACAACTGACAAGCCAGCATGAATTAAAAAACTTTATAGCTGGTCATCTAAGTGCTACATCACGGTCTCCGAATAATGTTTTTTTGGTGGTAAGCTACCTGATTCAGATAGTAGGCTGACTACGAGGGCTACACGGTGAATAAGCAATGGTAGGGTATATTAGACGTAGTGTAGGGTGGGTGTAGGGGATTGGGTGGGGTAGATGGGTAGGGGTATAAGGCATGATGGTGAGGGATAGGGTGATTTGGGGGTGGGGGTAGGAGGGTAGTGGTAATGTGGTATGGACTAGGGGTGGGGTAGCCGGGTAGGGTGCTTAACATGTTGTCCATTGAGCCATTGAGGTGTTTACTTGTCAATAAAAAAAGTTTTATTGACATTGTGCTTAACATTTTGCTTCATTATAAAAAGTTTAACATTGTATTTTACATGTGTTAATTAGTTTATGATGAAGTTGACAGTGAGGTAAATGCGTCATAAGTGGTAAACGCGCCCTAAGTGTTTTTCGAAACTACAACTTGAAATATTTCTTGAAAATGATAGGAATAGAGTAGACTGAATTCTGCAAGTATTACTCCTTCCCTCTCAAGAATGAGTCTTATTCGTTTTGGGCTCAAAGATTAAGAGGGTAAACAAAATCCTCATTCGCCCTTAATGAGCAATAATAGTTACTTAAGGGTAATGTTGCTTCGTTTTCTTTTTGACATTACGGCCTCGTATGGAAAATTAGTGAAACCAAACAACATTGATATTAGGGGTGGACCGGTTCCGGTTCGGGCCCGGCCGGGCCTCGGTTCAGAAAAATGAGGCCCGAGCCCGAACCGGTGGTGGGCGGTTCCGGGTCCGGTTCCGGGCCAGACCGGGCCGGGCCACCCGGATTTTTAATTTTTTTTTCTTCTTCTCTTATTTAACCCCCTACCCCTCCCTCTCCACCCCAAACCACCCCAAACCACCTCAAATGGCCCAAAATACCTAATCCAACCCAAAACTTAAAAAAATTTCCAAAAAAAAAAAAAAAAAATTAAATTCCGGCCCGAACCGGGCCCGGCCCGGCCGGGCCGGTTCACTAAACTGGAGGCCCGGGCCCGGACCGCTTTACCACCGGGCCGGGAGGCCCGAACCGGGCACGAACCGGTTCACCGGGCCGGTCCGGGCCCGCACAGTAGCGGGCCGGTCCGGTTCCGGGCCGGTTGGCCCGGCCCGAGTCCATCCCTAATTGATATCCATTTTGGAGGGAAAATTGTATGATAGATCACCATTTGGCTCCTCAACATTCACACATACATAACTATTTCAGTCCAAAATACAAAGGGGGAAATAATAATAAGATATTCAACTTACACGATGTTTATAACTACGTACATCGAGCTTTTGTAACTAATATAACTATAACCTCCAATTATAAAAAAATATTCCCAAAAAATTAATTTTTCTGGACCTGCCATTGCTCTCATGGAGAGATTTCTAGCAAATTCAATGGTCACGATTTCAAAGGTCGGCAACGAAAGCTATTATTTTATGAGCAAAATAATTTAAATGCATCAAACTTTTAGAGTTTTAGGCCTTGTTTGGTTCAAAGGAGGGGAGGGAAGGGGAGAGTCAAGGAGGGAAGAGAAGGGAAGGGGATACCCTGATGTAAGATAATCACCCCAAATTTGCACATTAGCACATGCAATAAAAATACCCTGATGTTTATATAAAAGTTCTTTTGGCACCATCGTAACATATTGTTTCTTTCACCAATGTAAATTTATAGTGTTAAAATATAAAATTTAAAATACTTTTGGCATATATAAGGATAAATTGTTATATTCCAAATAAATAACATTAACAAATAAGTTTATAATGTTAATTGTACTAAAAAATGCTTAGAATATTTATATTATTTACTTAACACTATAAATTTACATTTGTGAAAGAAAAAACATATGATCATGATGCTAAGATAACATTTATATTAAGTACGTGGTACTTATTAGTTATTTAAGTTTGGGGTGCTTAAATCACATTCCTCAAAAGTTCAAGGTATTTAAAGTGTTTTCCCTTTATTTTTACCTAACAATGTTGAATTTGGTTGTGTATCTCTCGGAGATCGAGCCGACCTCTTTTAGAGAAAAGTGAGACAGAAAGAAGAAAGTAGTCATAGTAATTGAGAAATTGTCACCGAAAATAATTTAAGATTTATTTAAAGTATAAGCGCAAGGAAATTCTATTTGGAAGATCGATCTAATTGTCCATTTACGGCTAGAATAGGAAAGCCCTAAGTCGGAGTAAAACGATTAGTCATGGACCCGGTCCGGTCCGCCCGGCCCGGCCCGCTACTGTGCGGGCCCGGCCCAGCCCGGCCCGCTACTGTGCGGGCCCGGCCCAGCTCGGCCCACTACTGTGCGGGCCCGGCCCGGCCCGGGAAACCGGTTCCGGGCCTAGGCCCGGCCTGGGAAACCGATCCTGGGCCTAGACTCGGCTCGAGGGGGTAACAGGGGGCGGTTCCGGTACACCAAAAACGTGAACCGGCCAGCCCGGTCCGGGCCTCTTTTTTGGGCTTTGGGCTGGGTTTAGATGGGCTGGGATGGGTAATTCAGGGGGTTGGGGGGGGGAGGGGGGGGGGGGAGGGGGGGGAGGGTAGGGGTTGAAATAAATAAGAAAACAAAAAAAACCGGAACAGCCCGGCCCGGAACCGGTAGCCTCCCGGGCCTTACCTAATACCTTCCAGGCTCAGCCGGGCCTAGGCCCAAACCGGAACCGGATCGGGCCCGGTCCACCACTAAAAACGATGATCAATTTAAGGGAAAATTACTATTAACCCCCTCAGGTTATGTCATACTAATTATTGCAACCTTGCATTTTCAAAAATAAATTAGTTACCCCCTGAGTTTTGATCATTCTTATTGTATGCCCCCTCACATCAATATTTGTTAAACTAAATTTAATACGGAGTATAACTCTTAAATTCAATGGAACTTGTTTATAAAATTAATTTTCAAAGTATAATATACGAAGTAATTTATTATCATAAATATAAGTCGTTGTTATTGATCATTATTTTTCTACTTAATTACTCAATCGTAGAATAACTATTAATGGGAGTAATTAATGAAAAGACTCACGAGTAATATTCATGAGATATATCAAAGATAGTTGTTTAAAAATGTGTTATCGAAATTCTAGGCACTTCTTTCGTGTGTAGCAAAGAATAAATACTAAGATGAAATGAATTTTATCATTCCTTGACCTAAAAGATAGGTCTAGTATCAATAAGAGACTTACAAGATATATAGAATGTGTCGATATAGGACCTAAATAATTGAAAGCTATCAATATAAGACCTAATATCATATATTTTGATTTATTTAATTTTCTTTTATCAACTCTGTTACTAACTTGTGATGATTTTATCTTCACAAATGTTTTTTACAGTAAAAAGTTTATTACCGTAGTATTTTATAAGATAAAATGATATTGAGTGTTTTGAAATAAAAATACTGAAATTCATGATACTTTATATCTTACTCGTGAATATTTTCCTTCACGGAAATAGTTCAAAGGGATGTACTAGTATGATTTTTGACATGTGCTACTCCCTATTTGATGCCATTAGGAAACATTTAGCAGCAAAAAGTATTTTCTTTTTAATTACTACGTATTTAAGACTTGAGTATACTATTTGTTGCGGTTATATAAAAATCCCAGCAATTATATTAAAATTTATAATATTTGTTGCGGTCAACGAAGAACCATAAAATTGTTGCTCTAAAAAATCAATAATTTGCATCGGTTGATAAATAACAACAACAAACCTTATTAAAATATAGAGAAAAGAGACAAGTAAGCCCTTGAACTATTTGCTATTCTGCAATCAGGCCCTTGAACCGAAAGACTTGCAGATACATCCCCTAACTAATTGAAATGATGCAATCAAATCCTTTTTTACCTGCTGGTGGAGGTAAGACGATGAAATATTATCGGCACCAACAGGTAAAAAGGACCTGATTGCTTATATTTCAACGAGTTGAGTGGTGTATCCGCAAATTTTCCGGTTCATGGGTCTGATTGCAAAATCGCAAATAGTTCGAGGGCTTATTTGCCCATTTTCTCTAAAATATACTACGTAATATAGTTGCGAGTTGCGACGGTCAATCGAGAACCACAATAATTTCCACTTTTTGTAGCTCTCACAATTGTTTAGGTTCAACCGCACACAGGGACGGACCCAAGACACTGGGTTGGGTTGGACTAGTATAAAGAATATTTTTGGAAAATATTTTACACAAAAATTTTCACTTCAAAAGTTTAGTTTTTTTTTTAAATTTTGGAGGGCCTAGGTTGTCGCCCTCTAGCTCCGCCCCTAAACCCACAACAAATAGGCTAAAACAACCGCAACAAATACTTCCTCTGTCCCAAATTATTTTGCAAAGTCAACATTTTTTGGTCAATCAATAATAAAAGTTAAACCTCCCTGTCCATAATTAATTCAATTTTTAATAATTAAAATTTACATATTCAGAAACTACATCAAAATCTCGTCAAAGTTGCAAACTTCAAATTAGAAAATAATTAAAAATTGGCATCTTAATTAAGCGAATAAAATGAAACAGTTTGACTAAGAAAGTCAAATTTTGTCACTTTCTTTTTAATGATCCATGAAACAATGATCTTAATCATAAATGTGAAGTTTGTGTGGAATCTAAGATGACAAGAAAATCTTTTCACGCCATAAATGGATAAACCAAACCACTAGAATTCGTTTATACGAATCTGTGTGACCTTAATTATGAAGGTACAAGAGATGGGAAAATGTATTTTATTACTTTCATTAATTAATGCTTTTAATTAAGCACTAGTATAGTACCCGTGCGATGCACGGGGTGATTACTTTTTATTCATTTAAGGAGTATGCGTTAAAATAAACAAAGCCACATAAAAGGATGTTAAAAAATAACTAATGGATGCCATTTTTTATTACCTAATTGAAATAGAAAAACAAAAAACATGCATTTAAAGGACATAATTCCTATATCTGCGAAATAACATCATCATTTTAAAGTACTTGACTCAATTTGAGAAGCTCGGTGAATAGCCCAAATAACTATAGGTCGGTCCACCACGTTCTTAATCTCAAGGTTCAAACCATCACATGGTTTAAACTTTGCTACTTGTGCATGAAATCTCCAACTGAAATGATGTTACGAATTTACGATGTATTATTTAAATCAACAACATTATCTTTTACGATGTATGATTTAAATCAACAACATTATCTTTATAAAATCTAGTTAGAGGATATATTTAGCAGTTTAATACAAGTATATAAGACACTTAATTTCTTTGAACAAAAAAAAAAGTAATTAAGACAGTCGTCATTGGACACTCTTAATTTTTTTTGTTCCATATAAAATCATTGTAATACTTGAAATGCGAGTCAAACTGGTACATCACTTTAACTTAAAATGATGTTTTTTGAAAGAAAAAATAACTTTAAATGTAATCAGTTTAGAGAAACATTTTTTCATGAAAAAAGCAATTCCAAGTTTACAAATTTCCCCTATGCCCTGACGTCGAGCTAAAATGCAAAAGGCCTAGAACTCAGCTTTCATGTCGTTTGACAACACAAAATAACTATTGTTTATCTTCATTCCACACAAATAACCCACAAACCTGGCCTACATATCATAGAATTGTACTAAAAACATGAACAAAAATAGCATCTGATACCAATTTGTAACACCCCCATTTTCCCTCCCAAAATAGTACTTGAAACAATAGATTTATTGATAATAAACTTGATTTATTCTTTCAAAACAGATAAAAAGTTTTGCAACGGAAATAATATTAATTGGGAAATGGGTGTTACCGCCACATCCGGTCATCTCTTAACCGAATGCACAGGCTAATACCAGACAAGACAAAACAAACTAAAACTAGTGTTCAAAACATAAGTAAATTAAAATGTTTATTCTTGACTAAGTTTGTCTAAGGCATCTCTAAATTAAACCGCTCTCGGGAATCAAGCAATCATCAATCAACAAAGCATCATCACCTGCACAAATAAAGTGCAGAAAACAAAACAAAGAAAGAAAACAAAAATTAGCTTTAGAGCTAAGTAAGTACTACCCAACCCCGTAAAATAATCAGGTTTGACAAAAATAGATTTTTATATAATACTATATAAAAATAACACACTCCATAAAAATTCTCTTCTTCTTTGATTATCTCAAAAACCACTTCTTCTCTAACTTCCTAGTAATTTAGAAGGGCGGTGCTCAACCTTTCGACTGAGCCCGGTGGACCGTGGTTACGGACGGCCACCCCGAACAAGTGCCGGTACCACAACTGCTCTTGTGGAAACGAAACGACTACCTTAAGTGTGCACACCCCCTAAAAGGGATTCCAAGCCCTCCGAGTAGTAAGTCGTCACGAGTAATCGGGACTATCGGGACTCAGTCTACCAACTACCCCACCTTTAAAATTCTTGAATGATTAGGGACTACTACTATAACTCTACTTCTTAAAAAGGGATCATCGATCCAATTATCACTGAAAACTTATTCTCACCCTTAGCAGTAGTAGCCCTTTTACGTCGGAACTACTACTACTACCACAACTCTCCTTCTTAAAAGGGATCATCGATCCGAAAGTTGCTCAAAAATCTCTTCTTAGTAGTAGCCGCTCTAATCACCCTCCACATTTATCCGGATGTGGAAAACCGACACTGCGGATTTCTCCCGCAGTGCTCATTTCTTATGAAAACCTAAATTTTATCTTGGCTTTAGATATACTTCTAAAAATATTTCTCAATTTCTTTAAAAAGTCTCGAAGGTATTTAAAATATTTAATACCCCAAAAGTGCTTAATTTATATTTCTCAACTACCATTTATATAATATCTCCTCAAAATCACATACACAAAATTCACAATTCACACTTAATCACATAATGCATAATAAGCATATAATACGAGGAAACAATTTTGGATTGGCAGAGAAACTTACCTCAATTTCAAGGATCTCTAATCGTCGTTTCTACCACATCTTCACCAAAATAACCTTCTAAGAATATAAAATTCTAAAATTAATAATTATTCTTTTTCTTAATTAGCCCTTACCCAATTCCACTACTTAATCAAGATTTCATTAGCCAGTCTTATTCACGTATTAACGATTAGTATATTAATCCACTAATTACTCTTGTCTAATAATTTAATCGGTCCATCAATTACTTTAGTTATTAATCCAACCTTTTGCTATTATCATCGTTATTACTATTATTATTCATTTCATAATAATCATCATTAGTTTCAATTCGGCCAGGCTACGGAGTAAATACCATTCGTTTTAAAAGTCTAGTTCAGTCGATTAAAATCCGCCCAACCCACACATAGAGAAATACTCTGTATCAAAATATATATTCGAAGAATAGGCCTTAGCTTACATTACAGCGATGAAGCAGGAGAACGGAAAACAGAACAGAGGAAAGCTTCTGACGCAGGCACGCAGTCCAGCTTCTTCTTCTTCTTCTTCGTTCCCCGGCGTGAAGACCAGTCCGGCGCTAACTACGGCGAATGGTTTCTCCTTCGTTTCACGATCGTTTTCAACGCTTCTTCAGTTGGATTCCTCTCTCGAAGGGAAAGTGTTAAATGTGTTTTCAAGGCTTAGTTTTTAGCTCTGGAATTTGGGTAATCGTAGGGTTGAGTTTTTCATATATACATGGATATGTGTATAGGTAGTACGAGTATATGTATATATCGAATGAAATCTTGGGAATGAAAATAATCGCAGGGTGAGAGTTTGGTATTTATACACCTGAATAGAGGATTCTAGGTTTAAATTTCGAGCTTATCCGATCGGCTTACAAGTTGGAGTTGAAGTTTTTATCTGATTTGTTTTGTACGGAAGTTAATATTGCAGCCCTTCAAGTTCAAAGTGTTCAAGTACGATTATAATTTTGCATGTGGATCCTTTCTTTGTTTAGATACATTGCCGCAGTCCGCAGATACAGTTACGGTCTTACGGAGGATATGTGTTTGTTTTATTTAATTTATTTATTCATACGTGCGTAGTATACTAAACTGATTAAAGTATTTATTAATATACTCGTATATTTTACCTAGGTTTATGAGAGAAATACGTAGGTCTAGATTATAAGTTGAAAAGTCACTTTTGTATGTTTGTGTATACCTAAAAATGTCACGTTAACATATTGTCTTACTTAATTACTCAAAAATGTCACTTTTGTAACATTTTCTATATCAGTAACAAAATATTTTTTTTTTTTTTTATTATTATATTTAAATTTTCGAGGTGTCACAACACTACAAAAATAATGTAAGACGTGAGATGGACTCGTACTCATAAAATGTATTTATCGTCGGCTTTGTCCCATAATACGGCCAAACACATCCAGAGTACTTGCCTATAAAGATTGAACAGGTTGGGCTTGCCTGTAAGATTGAAATCAACAATTAAAATTTAAAAGAATAATTACGTACAATAAGAATTAATATAATAGTAATAAATAAGTAGAACTATGCATAATGGTTTTGAACTTCTTATCACGAAAAAAATTAAAAATGGGTATTACTCGTTCAAAATTATCAATGATTATGAGAGCACTTGAAATACATGAAAATCTTGTGAAGTGCGTTAAACTAAAGCTGTATCATATTTAATTTGTATCAAATAATATAAATAAATCAATCAAAATCAGAAGCTTAATTAGAGCAATGCATTTTGTTATTTTATACTACATATTAGAATTGACTACACGAACTATAGCTACTTGTTAACATGAATCACAATTTTTATATGAGCCAAAAATATCTAATGCATCTAACATTTTTCTTTGAAACAGCCATGTCAGTAAGTCAGTAACTCATACATTAGTAATGCATGTTTTCTATATAAACATGTTTGTATAATGTTTTTATATTTATTATCTCTAGCATTTATTCTAACAGTGATCTAACATCTTGTTGTAACAAATGATTTGATACGGAGTACTATATACGTTTGTATATAGTACTTCATTTGAAAAAGCATCATTGTTAAATGTTAATTCTAGCACTTCGGTTTTCGAAGACAAAAAGTTCATACACATATTGCTAAATATATTGACGGAAATAAAGTATGTATCTCTTACCTGGGAAGATCCACATGCACAAAGATAATATCGTTATCATCAATTCATCATATATAGCGTGCAGCATGTGTATAAACGCTCACCTCCGACCAATAACACTTAACCAAGTTAAGCTAATACTATACGGAGTAATACATAGTATATAGTGCAAATAAAATAAAATAAAACATTTCCATCCAATTAACTCTCAATCATACAGATGCTTTCTTCTCAATTGCAATTTGCAATTTGGCTTACATGTGTTTATGGCGGCAGAAATGACATCTATATATAACACATATTTTCGCATTGGGAACCCAACAGTCAACTACATTTTGCATGGAGCCAACAAATTCTTAGATGCGTCTGATCTTTTATATGGTTTATGCATTGGATATGCCACAAAGTTTTGGAGAATGCAATGACCTTTCAGTTTCTCAAACAGTTTGTTTAATTAGCGTAGCAAATACTCGGTATATATCAGACTCTCTCTCCAGTTTCCCGCTCATTCTTTGTTGCCACTATTCCGTTTTTATATATATATAGATTATAAAGTTGAACTTGAAAATCATGAACTTGGAAATAAGATCAATAATGCTAGAGGTAGTGAATATGATTTCAATAATTTGTTTTAATTTGGAAAGTGAAATCATTCACCAAGACACTCCTTTTTTTTTTATAACTCCAGGTAGGGTCTGGGGAGGGGACCTGGGGGGGCTTGGAGTAATTAGGGCTGAAACTCACTCCATTGAGTTTCGAACCCTTATGTGCCTATCGGGTATCGAACTCGAGACCCCTCACTAGGCACGGTAACCTCACAACCAGTTGAGCTGGAATGCTTGGTTCACCAAGATACTCCTCCTTATATGCCTCAATTTGATGATGTATGTTCAAGTATTTCTCCTTGACATCTATCTTTGTTTCACAATACTATAGCATAAACTGATAAAGAGTTTTTGCCACTTTTAGTCCCCTCACAATTGAGTCAGTGACATTTTTGGTACTCTACTTTTAATTTTTCCATTTTTAGTCCTCAACTATTCTACGAGACACTTTTGGTACCCGTTTTTGAAAATTTCCGTATTTAGTCCTTTGACTTTCGTAAAAGTGACACTTTTGGTCTTTCAACTATTGCAATTGTGACATCTTTAGTCCTCCACTTATTGTGTCAAAATCATAGTAGAAGGACTAAAAATATCAAATTGATAATACTCAAAGGACTAAATGTGGGAAACTTGGAAGTTGAGGACTAAAAGCGTCTCTCAGACAATAATCGAGGACTAAAATTGGAAAGATTAAAAGTCGAGTACCAAAAGTGTCAGTGACAGAATAGTCGAGGGACCAAAACTGATAAACATAACAATTGGGACATTACATAACAATTGCGACATTACATAGCTCTCTTGCTTGAGTTTATTTTTTTGTAGGAGTATTGCTGACAAAGTCGGAAATGTACTTTTTTTTGTGGGCGCTTATTCCTATTTTTAAAAAAGAGAAAAATAATAAAAATACCCTAAATTTTGATGGGGTGTGAGGTAAACATCCCAAACTTGCATATGTAATTTAAATACCACAAACTTTATATAAAAAGTTATTTTAGCACCATTTTCATGTATTATTTCTTTCAAAAATATAAATTTATGGGGTTAATTGTGGTGTTCATCTCAATTTCATGTAGTGTTCAAGTTTCTTTCATATTTATATTTTTATATAAAGTTTGAGGTATTTAAATTACATATGCAAGTTTGAGGTGTTCATCTCACACCCCTTCAAAGTATGGGGTATTTTAATTATTTTTCCCTTTAAAAAATAATACTCCGTAGTTTTTAAAAAGTATTCACTAAAATAAATTATGTGAAAAGACATACGGAGTTATAACAATTACAAAATTACTTTACGATCATCAGGTAATCCCATATTTTGAATAAAAGCAGCACGTGAATTAATTATCAACTAGGACTAAAATTAAAAATTATAAATACTTTTGAAAACGTTTCTGGTAGAACATTGTGAATTGAATAATCAACATAACTTCAAAATAATATTTTCTAGCATTTCATGTTCAATGCTTAATATTACTAATTCATTAAGTTTTTCTTGAGACATGATTAGCTCATTTTTCGTAGATAACTATTGTTGGAACGTATTGTTTTATTGATACAAACAACTAATGTTACTTGTGTTGTATAAAGTGATTGCAGGAAAAGAGTTTAATTCGATCTCCGGAGCTAGTCATAGACCTTATCCTAGAACTGTCTTGCGAATCCAAGATTGACTAATTTGGTTTACTTAAAATATCTTTTCTCTCCATCCAATTTCGGGTTTGTCTTGCTAAATTGAAGAAAGTTTTTCTAGTAAGGAAATAATCAATGATCATATAAAGAAATGATTTTTTCTTTAAAGAAAAGTTATTTAAATCAAAGACATTAATTAAGAGTTCTTTCTGCAAAGCAAGTTTCCAAAATAAAGGGTGCTATTCAAAATTCAAAATAAAAGCTTCCAAAATATTTTCCTTCACACAAATAAAAAGAATATTTTAATACCTATAAGGAAACATTTTTTGAATAATTTCCATACAAGAAGACCGTAATATATATGGAGATCCGAGCTATTAAGGAGAGTGCATAAAGTCCTGATCTTGCACATTTAAGAAGACCTTGCTCAAAAGGAAAGAATTCATTCTCAAAGGAAATTAAAAGATGCAACAAAAGAGAATTTGACCAACAAGGAAAGCTTTTTAAAAGCAATAAAGTCTTGACAGCTCCTACACGTCCCTATATATGACTAAGCTTGTGCATAGAGATGATTGTGCTTGAACCAAGAAGAAAATACTCAAATAAGGAGAGTTATACAAGCATACAAAAGAAGACCGAGTACCTGCGATAGTTCCATTAACAATTCTATCCTTTGTAATTCAATTTCTTCTATTGTATTGGCGTTGAGAGGAACATTTGAAAATGCTTTCCTCCGAGGGTTGGGGTGTGAAGTGAGAGCTTTGTTGTAAAGCTGAGAGACTCCTTACCCACAAGGTAAGGTAGTGAGAACTCTACCTAGAGAGGCTTGAGTTGGGGTGGCTCAATGGTAAACTAGAAGAGTTTATCTCGTAATCTTTTTAAAGGCTTTTAGTGAAGCATTTTTCAAATTCCTCTGAGGGAGGTCGAGGGTTTTTAATTCCTGTTGAGCGAAGGGATTTTTCTTCGTTAAATCTTTGTGTTCTTTAATTTCTGTTTTCCCTTTGCCTTGCACTACAACTCGGCGAAAAACTGTCATAGTTCTACGCACACACAATTCACCCCCCTTGTGTGATTCAACCGGTTCATCAATTGGTATCAGAGCCGGTTTTCTCCGCGTAAATGGTAAAACCTTGAGAAGTGGCAGAATGAACACGGTTGACCATCTTGAAGAAGGTTACTCGATCCAACGACCTCCACTGTTCAATGGCAAGTTCTATCAATTCTAGAAAAGTCGAATGATTTTTTTATCAAGACAGACAACTATCAGATATGGAACATTATTGAGGAAGGTGATGATGTTATCACAAAGGTCTCCAATGAAGGTACTATTGTTCCTAAACCCAAATTCGATTATACTTCTCATGAATATTTAAAACTCTAGCATAATGCCCAAGCTCTTAAGTATTTGATTTGTGGACATGGTCCTGTTGAACACAATCAGGTTCTAGGATGCAAGTCTGCCAATCAAATGTGAGAGATTTGCTCGAGGTTACTCATGAAGGTACTTCCCGTGTAAAATGATCCAAAATTGACAAATTTATGCAGAATTATGAACTTTTCGTAATGAAGCATAATGAGTCCATTAGGGATATGATTATACGGTCTACTAATATCATTAATGAGCTTTCAACTTTGGGAAATGAAATATTAGTTGAAGATCACGTGAGAAAAGTGATGACAAGCTTGCCATCTACATGGAAGCCAAAAACCACGGCAATAGAAAAGACCAAAAATCTATCAACCCTAACCCTAGAGGATTTGATGGGTTCACTCATGGTATACGAACTAGGATTGCAAGAGAAACAAGATGCTGAAAATGTGAGAAAAGAAAGAGGCATTTCTCTCAAGGAACGAGAAGAAGAGTATTCTGAGAGCGAATCTGAGGATGAAATTAGCATGTTTAAGCAATTTGGAAAAGTATACCGACAATTCAAAAACAACAAAAACAAACAAGGTAAGAAAAACTTTTAATGGTTTGATAACCAATGTTGCTTTGTTTGTGGATCATTTGAGCACATGGCAAAAGACAGTCCGCGAAAGAAAAATGACAAAACCCACGACAAGAACACATCAATTTCTACCCAAAGGTTTAATGAAGACTAAAGATTCAATAGAGATCTGAAGAAAGCAGTGATGGCTGTATGGGGAGACTCATCTGATGATGATGAGGACGAGAGTGATAAGAGTTCAAATCAAGCTAGATGATGTCTTATGGCTAATTCTGACGAGAAATCTGACCAAGAGAACTTTGAGGTGAGTTTGGAAAACTTTCTTTCTAAATTTGATTCTCTACTAAAGACCAAGATTCAGAAAATTTTCAAAAGATTGACTATATCTAGCTTAATCAAATTCTTTCTGAAAATCAGCATCTCAAATCACAAATCACTGAGCTTGAATATAAACTCGAGGAAATCACAAGAGTCAAGCTAAGACTTGAAACTAAAGTGAGAGAGTTAATAGATGAAAAACTTAAGTACAGTGAAATGGTTCTAGAACAAGACAATATTATTTGCTTAATTAAGCACGCTATCTTGAATAAACAAGTTGATCAAGGAGAGAAGCTTCTTTCAAAAACTCCGAACATTGGTGTGTTAATTAGCCATCTTAATCATCTTGAGGCTGAGAGACAAGATTTTAAAAATTAAAAACTGGTCCGGAATATCAGCCGTACAGTGACATGAACAAAAACAGACCTAGTTTTAGAACTGGACCCTCTCACTACAAAAATAAACTAAAGAATGAGACAGCTGGCCTCAGATACAATACCAGTCAAGTACATATCAATTAAAAACCTATTTTTCAAAAATAGTCATTTGAGGGAAACAGATTAGAGGACAAACCAGTTCTAGCACAAATAGAATACAATCTAGAACTAGACCTACCTGGTTCAACATAGTGGTTCAAAGGCACAAAGCTGGTTTTGGACAAATGCCAAACCAAACATTTTATAAAAGAAATAATACTTTTAATAGAATGATGAAACCAAAATACGTTGATACTTATGATAACCAAGTTTGCATGCACTGTGGCAAAATCAGTCATCTTCGATATCAATATTTCTCTCGACTCAAGCCATAAAAAGAAGCGTTAACTATGTTTGGTACCCTTCCTCAAACGAATATAAAATGGAACTCAAGCAAGTCTGGGTTCCACGGGCTAATCCATGATTCCGAAACAACGCCAAGTGAGGGGGAACAATTACTGGTTCCTTGACAGTGTTTGTCTAACCACATGACTGATTGACTGGAGACCGTTGGTCCCAAATCTTTGGAGACTGACGAACAGCTAGATGGAATCCATCGATAAGATAGAGAAGAAAGAGATCAGAAAATGATTGTAAGAATATCGAGAACTTTGAAATCCTTCTTCTATTATATCGAGAACTTTACAGAGTAATGCTGCTATCTAATATTTTTCGACCTTCCGACCTGTACAGGAATGCGCATATTTATAGGCGCTGTACAGGTACCGAAATAGGTAACCTAGGAGTTTGGGTCTAAAGTCTTTTTGGGCCTTATTCCCTTACTACCTATTTATTACAAGATAATAAATACCATAAATGGTAAACCTATTCTAATAAATAACAAGACATAAAGACAAGCTTGATTCACAATTAATATTCCTAACAATAGCCCTCTTTGTGATCAAGTGCCGTCTTGCTTTTGCTGTTCTTTATTTCTGAGCTCTGTAATAATGTTTGCAGAGATTAAGTGCATGCTCATAGCTTCTGAGTGACCTTCTTCTGTCAAGTTGTTTCTCGATAGCTTTCGGGATTTTATCAACTCTGTTTGAGTCTTTTAGTTCAGCGTCCGATGCATCATATTTAGGTTGTCTTTCTTCAAAATCCTTTCTGATAGGTTGCAATTTTTCCCTCACAATCTTCAGTGTCCCATCACAGTACTTGTTGATTTCTTCAATTGTCAACAGACGCTTCTCACCATTGTGATTCGGGTAGATGATTGCGACCGGGCTATCAAAGATGTAATATGCCGGAAAATCTTCTAGCTCTGGTCCGTACAGCTTTGGTCTTATTAAGAGTTTTGTCTTTGGAAGATTGGTTTCTAGGGCCATCTGAAGATCATGGGTAGCAAAGAATTTGACTTGTCTAATCATGAAGCGCTTGAGTGCATTGAAACCTTCTTGTGTAAATCTGTCACAAGTAACGAGAAGTTCTTGAAAAGCTAGGAACATCTGATAAATGCCATCCATGTTTAGCATGTAGAGATCATTTTCCTTGCAGGTAAATTCAGTCTCGTCAGAGCACTGTAGGTGTTAAACAAAGAGCTTGATATCTTGATGATTTACTTCGACTACATTCAGGATACTCCACACTTGGTCCTTTGCCGTCTGAAGCTCATGCTGCCATACTTCTCTCTGTTTTCCCATATATCTGTGACTTAGCAGGAACAGTTGTCCGCCTTTGTTCTTTCCTCGTAGATGATTGAGACCATGGATCTTGAGTTCGTCGAGTTCCTTATCTTTGTCTGATTTGCGCCATATTTCTTTCTGATTTCCTCTTGGAAGGGAGCATATCATTGATTTTGATATTCTCCCAGGGCTTTTCATTCTTTGGCATCTGAGCCGCTGTTTGTCTGATTATCGATTCCAGCTCCTTGGGATTTTCTTTGTAGTTTTCTCCTTCCTTGAGTTCATCGTCATCAATCCGTATTATATCAGCAGCACACTTGGCAAGGAGTTCTCTGAGATAAGCTCCTCGCTGCATTTCATATTGATTAACTTCAATTTCTAGTTCATTCCACTATGTCCATTGGCGAGGCCACTTGTCATGAACAAGAATGTCTTCGAGTTCGTCATGTATTTGCTCATCAGAGGGCCTAGAGGGAGCTTGCTGCTGCGGTGGCGATAACATGTCACAAGAAACACCGAGATCACAAGAATTGCTTGTTATCCATTAGATTCAAACTAGGTTCTAACTGATGGCCCGATTCTAATGATGTACTCGTGGTAAAAACATCGGGACTTCCATTCCCTCCTTGGTCAACATCTATAGGACATGTGCCTTAGAATGTTCTGTCTAGCTCGACCATGCGAGAAGTTATGGCTTTGGATTTGGTTTGGCTGGCTGAAGTTGGTTATTGGTTGGTAGAGGAGGAGGGTTGGTTTGGCTGCGGGGTTTGGCTTGTAGAAGCAACATGCTCACCTAAAAGTAAAGACTTCAACAAAAATAGAGCAACATAAACAAACATAACGCAAAAATAAGAACATAAGAAATGTCATCTTCTGATAAAAGCTCCTAACATCCCTACATCAATATCCTACCGTATTCCGAACTCCTACCTTCTAGTTTTTTTGAAACATCATCTTCTAAACTCTGACACCTCGAGCGCCCCAGGGCGGCGGTTCAGAAGGGGGATGGACCGTCGGTCTGTCTTCTCCCTTGTTCAATCCTTCACCTCTCATCGCCCATGCCGCCTCCTAATATGGTCACCATGTACCAGCCAATCGTACCCAACTTCTCCCCTGCTATATCACTCTTCATCCTTCTGCCGCTTGAGAGCCAAAATTAGATACCAAAAAATGCGATCAACCTTCTGCTCACTCGCCAAAGAAGCAAAGCTGAAATCAATACCAAGCACTTTGTGCGTGTCGTCCCAAAGCTACATGCAAGTTTCCGATTCAAAATCTGCGAATGAAGATGCCCCCACCCTAGGCATACGCCTAACACCGCTTTCATTATGAATAACCTAAAGCTTGCCCGATTGATGAAGACCACCGCCTAGAAGAAAGCCAAACAAAAAAACCCCTAGAAGAAACTTAGGGGCTCTTATATCATATCAATGCATCCTTACTTTATGTAATCATCTGGTTGAACACCAGTGGTGGAGTATATTCCCATACACTCCAAGGATACCACACATTCACATGCAAAGAAGTCATCAGAAATAACCAAGTCAATATTTTGCTGAGGCCAATCTCGACCCACCCGAGTTCGGGCCGAACATTCGACTCCAAGATCACCAAGATAAGACCAAATCCAAGGCCTAGCTCGACCACGTACACCGAGGTCCGTACCATATTTGGCCCCTGTTTGTCAATATTTCAAGAATCAAACCAATAAAATAGAGAAGAATAGAAATGTACATTTAATACCAAAATGATTTTGAAATACATTGCAAGGTATGAACAAAGGCTCTCTCTCTAGAATGAAATTATGCTTAGGAGAATTATGGAGAGGCTAGTGATCCCATTCTCTTTAAGGCAATATTTATATGCCTAAGGAATGAGTTGATCGATGTGACCTAAGTGTGATTGGGCCCCTTTATTGAGGTAGCCCAAATGCACACATTACAAGGCTTTCCCTAATATAGCTAGTCTAATAATAGTCTAATAAATATATTAATTAGACTAAATACAACACAAATACAACTAATTAAAACATGATTTAACACCATAAAATATATCTAACAACCTCAGACACAAACATAAAATCAACCGAAGTCAACGGAGCAAAGGAATCAGCACTACCGGACAAATAGAAGATCATGGTCAAACCCTCCAGAATAAGTTTACCATACCTGAGCTCTGACCTTACTTACGGAGCTCGGTGCCTTGCTAGCGAATTGTGGACTTAGGCATTTTAGAAATCGAATACCACACAGAATTTCGTTACGCACAGTGCCAATCCCCCAGCTATCTAGAATATCTCTCCAATAACCTTTACACATGTCACCACACTATTAGCTAGATTAGTAAATTCATTCTTGTTAGATAGGTGAGACACGCGTCCTCACCACATTCTTTTGCTTGTCAGCCAATTATTTATCCCCTAGTACACGTGTCACCACACTATTAGCTAGATTAGTAAATTCATTCTTGTTAGACAGGTGAGACACGTGTCCTCACCACATTGTTTTGCTTGTCAGCCAAGTATTTCTCCCCTAGTATAAATATCACCTTCCATCTTGTGGAAATGGATCCAATTCAAGCTTTACTGTTACTCTGCCAAATATTCTACTCAATCTTACTTAGGACTCTTCATCCTCTCTTACTTTCCCAGATTCCGGCTACCCCTAGATCGGTAATCCATTAGTTAGTCTTGTCTTTTTTGATATGCTCTTATCGGATTTGTTTTGTCTCATCCAATTGAATATATAATCAAACCTAACCTCCATTAAATAACAACAGTAATAACAACACTAATTAAAATAATTATAATAATAGTAGTAGTAATAGTATACGTAATAATAATAAAATAACAATATACTCCGTATAATAAATACATTCATAAAAAT